TGCCATTAGTATCTCTTCATTAGAGAAGTGTGTATTCATTTCAGAGGCCCATTCTTGGATTGGGTCTTTGAATTTGGGGGGCCCAATTTTTTTAAATTCTTTGTATGTCCTAGATAGAAGTCCTTTGTCTGAGGGGCAGTTGGCTAAAATTTTTTCCCAATTCGTGGGTTTTCTTTTTACTTTATTGGTGATTTCTTTAGATGTGCAAAAACTTTTCAACAAGATGAGATCCAAGTTATTGATTCTTTGAAGTATTTCAGGTACAGTTTGGTTTTTATTCATGAACTCTCTGCCTGCCCCAATGTCGTCAAGATTTTTACCTACTTTCTCTTCCAATAAATCAAATGGCATTTTTCATAGAAATATAAAAAATACCCAAAGTGAGTATGGAATCCGAAAAGACCCCAAAGAACAAAAGCAAAAGAACCAACCTAGATGCATCACATTCTGTGGTTTTAGAATAGATTATAAATTCACTGTAATAAGACAGCATGATATAGGCAAAAAAATAGACACATTGCCTAATGGGACAAAATAAAAATCCCAGAAAGACACCCAAGCATTTATACTCCATTGACTTGATTTTTCACAAATGTGTTAACAAAATACAATGGGGGAAAGGACAATCTCTTCAGAAAATTGTGTTGGAAAAACTGGATCTCCACTTGCACAGGAATGAAATTGGACACTCATCTCACTGTACATACAAAACCTAGCTTGATATGGATAAAAGGGTTAAAATATGTAAACTTGAAATATAAAGCTTCTAGAAGAAAACTTAGGGGAATAGCTCTAGGACATTGATCTGGAAAATGTTTTCTTGACTAGAACTCCAAATATAAAGACCATAGAAGCAACTATTAGCAAAGGAATTGCACCAAAGGTATACTTTTTACTTTCTCTTCTTTTCTTTCTAACTTCTATGGTTCCAGTGTTAATGTTCAGTCTTTGTTTTTTTTTTTTTTTTTTTTTTTTCCGGTACCTGAATCGAACTCACGACCTCGTGCTTGCCAGGCAGGCGCTGCGCCGCTGAGCTAACTCCCCAGCCCCTAATCTTCAGTCTTTGATGGACCTGAAATTTATTCTGGTATCAGTTAGGTGACATAGTTAGATGGTGTATTGAAGCAATGGCAAGACTAGGGTCCACTTCTGCACAGCAAAGGAAGCAGAAGAGTGAAAACAGTGAAGAGAAAATCCTTGGCCTGGGAGAAAATATTTGCCAACTGTACCTCTGACAGAGACCAGTGTTCATATATGTGAGGAACTCAAGCAACTCCATAGCAAGAAAACAAGTAACCTTGTTCTAAGGTTTTAAAGTTTAAAATTTAAGGTTTAAATTTAAAATTTAATTTTTAAGGTTTTTAAATTTTAAAATTTAAAGATGAGCAACATATTTGAACAGATTTTTCTCAAAAGAGGAGAAATAAATGGACAATAAATATATAAAAAATGCTCAATATCATTGATCATCAGGGAATTGCAGATTATGTTAGTCTTTTTTTTTCTTCTTTTTTTTGGTACTGGGAATTGAACTCAGGACCTTCCTCTTGCCAGGCAGGTTCTGTGAGCTATCTCCCTGGCCTTAGAATTGCAGATTAAAACCACAGTGATTTCCATCTTATGCCTGTTACAATGGGTATTACTCAAAAAATGAAAGATAATAAATGCTAGCAAGGGTGTGGAAAAAAAGGGAACACTTGTGCACTCTTGGTGGGGATATATATATATATTTTTTTTCTTTTTTTTTTGAGACAGGGTCTCACTATGCAGTTCAGACTGGCCTAGAGCTCACTTTGTAGCCCAGGCTGGTCTCGAATTTGCAACAATCATCCTGCCTCAGCCTCCCAAGTGCTGGGATTACAGGCATGCATCACCATGCCTGGCTTATATATATATTTGACACAAGGTCTTGCTATGTAGTTTAAGCTAGCCTTGAACTCACAATGTACTCCAAGCTCTCCTTGAACTCATGGCAACCCTCCTGCCTCAGCCCTTCCAAGTGCTGGGATTACAAAAGTGTGCCACCATGCTGGTCTAGTATGGGTATTTTGGACAATAGTATGATGAGTCCTCCAAAAACTAAAACTGGATTTGCCACGTAGCTGTCCCACTTCAGGAAGATAACCAGAGTAACTGAGCTGGGTATGTTGAAGTAGTGTCTGCCCTGCCATGCTCGCTGCAGCACTGTCTACAATAGCTAGATGTGGAGGCAAGCCAGGAGTCCATCAGTGGATGAGAGCATTAGGCATACGTGATGTATACAGTGTGCCTA